TGCCGTCGCCAACTGAAGGGAAGGGCCGCTCCTCGACCCCCTGCGGCCCGTGCCGCCCCCGACGATCTGCCGCGCAAGGTTTCTATCCAGCTGGGGCGAGGTTAGTTTGAAGGGCCGCGCAGGGACCCTTGATGCCGCGCCACTTGATGGCAGGGCACAACTTCGCTCGTACCAATGACCAGGTGAGTTTGATGCGGACCTGCAAACAAGGCTGCCTATCCAACAACGAGTCCACTCCGCGACTAAGGTCGTCCGCATCTGCGCCGACAGGCCACCATCAACTAGAAGTGGCCTAGAGCTCCGTCTGCCAGCGCCGTCCAAGCACATGACCTGCTATGGCCCAAGCTGCGCGTCTTCGCAATTCGCTGGAGCACCGGGGAGGGGGAAGCGCCGTGCACATGGCGACCGCGCGTGGCGGCTGGGCGCGAGCCAGTCCGCCATGAACCTTCGGCGGCATAGTGGCTGCCATGGAGACGACTTAGCTTGCGCATCTTGCCAGCGCGTAGCTTAGCAGCGGCCAAGCGCCACCGAAACCTGCCAAGCCTCCACGCCTGTCCTCCAGCGTTATCAACGCTCAGGTCGACAGCGGCACTGGCAAGTTCGACAGGGGTGCTCATGCTGCGCAACCTTGGCATGAGGGGCTCGGCAATCTCTCTGGGGTTGGTGACGAGGGGCGCTTTGCCAAGGGTCTGAAGCCTCGCGCACGCACGCGAAATCGCGACAACCAACAGCCGACGTCATGTCCCCGATGACCGCGGCCTTGCCCTCTTCGGCGTGGCATTCCGCATCGGCATTGAAGGTCCAACGGACAGTGCGCGGAGGTACCGCGCGCACTGCGCGGAGCAGCCCATGTAACAAACCTTCGACAAACCCACTCCTCGAAATATCTCGAGGGGGAAACTGGCAGGGCGCCCTTTCTTGATCGCGCGAGGGGCGGCGTAGATATTCACTTCCATCAGGGCGGCGATCGCCGGGCGCCCCGACTGGCGGCCCGCTTCCACCAGAAAGGCATGGCTGATTGAATCGTAGAACCTCGGGCCGACCTCGGGCCCCCGAGCGCGCTCGCCCAGCGAGGCCCACGCTAGGGCAGCGCGGAGCGCAGAGCCCCCCGCGATCGCCGCGCGTCATAAGGCGCCCAGCTTCTCGCGCCGCCCCGTTGAAGGAAGGGGCAGCACGCGCGCGACCCCACAGCTTGACAGCGCGCGGGAGGAGCCCCAAGACCCGATGCCCTCCAGCATTCTTAAGAATGGCAGCCCTGGGCGTGGCCGACGCGGCGGCTGGCCAAAACTCCGCCCTGCCCCGCGCGATTGGACAAATCACCCCGCTGTCGACGCCCTTGCGCGGGAAGCCGTTGGATGCCGCGGGGGCCTAAGGCGCCCGCGCCCTGAGCCGCGCTGGCGCCCGCGATGCGGAGAGCTCTGTCGACTTGCTCCAGCGCGATCTCGGGCATATCATCTCTCTGAGCACAGCGCAACAAAACGTCGCGCCATCGCTGGGGGTCGTCTGCTGCGTCGACCTTCTCAGACCACACGCTGCGCCATCGATCCTTCATGGCCTCCCGCGTGGCGCGCGGATCGCTGGAGGCGAAGCCCTTGGCGTCGGCCGCCTCGCGGTCGACCGCGCGGGGGGGGCGCGCCCGCGTGCCGAGCCTGGCTCGGACTCCCATTGCTGCTTAATCCAGCCCGTGAAATTAGAGTGCGAAGCAACAAGAGCACGCCCCCTGCGCCAGGTCGCACGACTTGTCAGCAAGCTCAAGATGCACCGCGAAGCCTTCATCGTCCATCTTGCCCAATAGCGAAACATATTCGCGCCGACGCCGCGCCGACTCTATGGAAGCACGTTTACCGAATGACGAGTATTTCTGCTCCGTCTAGCGCGCTGACATGCCGACAAAGGTGGATGAAACAACCGGCCATCTGAACTGAATCCGACTCGTTGCGACGTAGCGCAGCGTAAAGTTTGATCAAAGACGTCGTCACCTCCCACCATTCGGAAAACGCACTGCGAATGCGAGCGCGGCCTGGGGCGGCCTTCAGGCGAGCCCATCGGGCCGGAGCTCCAGCTGCACGCCCAACATGCACAGCCGAACGCTCAGAAGGGACCTGTTCAGCTCGAAGCACTGCACCCACCAGCGCAGCAGCCCATATCACATGAATATGCGATGCTGGCTCGTGTGGTTCTTTGAGGGAAGGGATAGCGTCGCGCGGTCGGCACCTTCGAGCCCCCTCCTTGGCTCGGGGGCGCAAGCAAATACTCTCCTGTCTGCGCAACTGGGAATGCACTGCGTCCGCGTCCATCTCTGCATGTGCACCGCTCCACCGCTCCCTGGTTTTGTGAACCCAGCTCCTCGTCGCCACTGAAGGTGCCCCCACAGCGAGGCGCGCCTTGTCAGTCAGGACTAGCTGCATTCATGGAGAGGCCGGCATTCAGGACAGCGGCTGGCAACGTCATCCCCGAATTGTTCGGAATGGTCGCGCTCGTCACGCCGCGGCGGGGGCCTCACTCGCGTGGGGGTCTCGCCGCTGTGGGGGGCCCTGATGGCGACGCGCGGGGAGGCCTCGTTCGCGCGCGGCTGGGGCATCGCGTCAGCGTCCGTAGCCTGGCCAACTTGAACCGCGATGCCGCGATTGCATACAGGCACCTGGCTGGACTGACTGGCCGCTAACCTCCCGCTGCTCCGCAGCGGGTCGCCCCCCCGCGAATGCACGAGTCCAACGTGGCGACTGTGAGCCTGGGCCAGTGCCCCCAAGAAGGGGCTCCCCAAGAAGTTGGTCCAGTTCGACATGGCGACAGAAAATCCGATGTGCCCCCCATCCAATGGGAGCCCCCTCAGGATTTGGAACAACTCCGAGACAACCCAACATGCAGCTCCCGACGCCGACATCGCAGAATAGGACGCTGCCAAGGGGGTCGAGAAAGAGCTACCTTTCCCACCAGCCGATTTGAGGAGAGGGCAACCGGGGTCGGTCGCATCGCGGTCCCGCTACCAGGACGTCCTACCCCGTCTCAGCCTTCTCAGGAACGGGCCAGGTCCGCAGCCTTGAAAGCGAAACCGAGGAAAGCGTGACATACCCAGCATCCAGGTGTGGAGCGTGACACTGAACGCAGTCCTCGATCCCCGCGCGCAGCGGCAGTCGCCGACATTGAACCGGCAGATGCCGAGGTAGCTGCAGGGCGAGTACTCGGTTCCCTCCAGCCGATTTGGGATGAGAGAAACCAGGAGCGATCGCGAAGCGGTCCCGCAGCCTGGGCGCCCTCTCCCATCTCAGCCTTCGCAGAGTCAGGCCAGTTCCGCAGCCTTGAGGGCGACGCCGGGGAGGGGGGGCACCGCCGTCCCAACCCAAGCTTGTCGTGCGTCCTGGAACAACGCCACGGCGCAGCGATGCGTAGGCAGCAAGCCAATCCTCCGCAGACACCTGGAACGCTTGGAAGACGCAGCCCCGTTCGGCGCCGAGCGATGCCCTTCCTCCTGGATCAATTCGCAGACTGCGTTAAAGCCTTCTCGGAGCTCGGGGGGGGGAGGAGCTTCTTGCCTTCGCCTCTTCTGTTCTGCCAGACGTCGCTGTCGCTCGCTGTCAGGATCAAGCCTTGGCAGAGGCTTTGGCGCGTCGTGGAGAAGCCCAGGGGCCGCGAGCTTCATGGCGCGCCGCTCTTGTGCACTCCAATGACAGAGGGGCGTCGAGGGCGCAGCGCGTCGCCCAAGGGGCGCGCAACCCAGATTTGACAGCGATTGGCGAGCAAGCGCGGCCTGCGTTGCCACGCATCCCGCCCTTGCCCGCGCCGCCGGCAACCTAGCAGTCGGGCGCCTCGACGCGAGGGGATAACTGGTTCGACAATCCACTCTCGCGGAGCGCCGCGTCTCAATCATTCAGCGCGCGCGCAAAGGCCGCCAGTGCGAGACCGCGCAAGAAACGCTGGCGCCGCGAAATAACATGCCTGGCTTAAGGCGCGAAGCGGAGGCAACTAAGTTGCCCGTCTTTGCGCGAATCGCAATGGAAGCGAAGCCCTTGCAACGATTCGCCGCGCCCGGCGCGCGCCCCCTCGTCCCGGCGAAGGAAGCGGTGGAAACGTGATTGCGGGGCGCCATCCATTCGGCCCCAGAGAGGCCCGCGTCGGATCGGCCCGAGGGCCGCGCAGGGGTCGCATAAGGCTGCCGCCCGCCCCCTCGATCTGCGGCGCGTCAGCGGGAGCCGCGTGAATCTCGACTAGTGCCGCGCCCGAATGCTTGAAGCAATGCTGCGCGATGAACCGATGGGCCGCGGGCCCCGCTTCGTGATGCTAGCGAAGAAAATCTGGGCGTCCTTCTCAGCGTCGGCGATGCCAGGGCTAGACAACAGACTGAGAGGGGGCATCACCTGCCTTGCCCTGCGCAGCCATGATGCGCTACGCATCGTGGGCCCTCCTGGCAGTGCGCTCGATGTGGCGCTCGATCTTGCCTTTGCCGCTGCCATCGGCGATTGTGTCGGCACCTGCGGAAGCAGCGCCATCCCCGCGGCCCGCGGCGGCCCGGGCGCCCGCCGCCTCCCGTGCCCTCGTCCAAGTCCCCCCCCATCGTCAGCTGGCACACGCTTGGCTTCGCGCTTCTTGCGAGGAGCGGCGAGAGTTTTCGTTGCCTCGGCCAAGAGGTCGTGGAACTCCATCTCGCGAGCCTTCGCCGGAGACGAGACGGCCCCCAGCTGCTCAGGAACTCACGTGGCTTCGTCTGGTCGGCCTCATCGAACTTGCCCAGGGCCTCAAACAGCGCGGTGTCGACGCCGAGGGTGCAATGGTCGTGGGAATGGTACTCGGTGGGGGCCTCGCGATCCTGCGTGGCCGCCAACGCCAAGAGCCGAGTCTGGTCCACGTCGTAGAGCTACGATGCCTCACGCAAGTACTCTTCAGCTTGGACAAGCTTGGGTTGTCTTTTCCAACTTGACCTGCTTCTCGGCGCAGACTGCAGCCGCCTCACGCTAGACAGCGTTCGGGCACTTAGGCTTGGACTGAGGAGCGTCGGCAGCAACCTGCGCCTGAACCTGCTCGACCAAGGCGATGGCTGCCGGGTTGAAGGTGAGGCCCGCCGGCGCGATAAACTTCTGGAGGTACGCATCTGGATTGGGTTGCCCTGGCGTGCCTCCGAAAACTGGGAGCGCGGGCCAGTCTTCGTCGCGTGACCGCCCACGGCCGATGCCCTGTGCCGGAGCGGAGTCGGGTCGGCGCCAAACGGGGTCACGGAAGATCTGCACGTGCCCGCAGACCGTACCCCTGTTGGTCTGCTTCTTGAGACGCCAGTTCCATGCCCAGTTCTGCAACCCCGAACGCGCAGCGCACGTCCGAACATAAACACTCGCCCCTGATGTGGTGTCACTGAAAAATCGGACCGACCTGAGAAGGGTCGGAGTACGCGTCCCGAGCTTGGGCGCTCAGACTCGAGAGAGAAAGAGAGAGAGAGAGAGAGACAGGGAGAAAAAACGAGAGAGAGATAGAGAGAAAGAGAGAACACTGGGATCTAGCCGCGGAACGGTGGCATCCACTCGGCACACCCGAAAAACTTGCAAACTGCACCAAAATGGCTACGGAGACAGGAGGGCGAGGACCCCATCTGGGAGGTGGAAGACCCCATGCCGACACCGCCGATCCCATTCCACCCCCCGGGCCCCCGCATGGGGCACGTCCTGGCCGTGGCGACGAAGGCTCGCCAAGACGAGCAGCGGCAACACGAGCGAAACCGGCGGGGCGGAACGGGCCAGGCGCAACCGGTCAGGGCGAAATCGACAGGGCGAAACTGACCGCGGGCGAGACCGATCCACTGAACCAGCGTTCCGACTGCAATGAGCGCTCATGCACCGATCTCGGCGCCCGCGTGGTTGCAAACTCGCGACTCTTGCCGTTGCGCGTCGAACTGTATGACTGTTGACGTCGGAAAGGTAGCCTGCAACATCGATCTCCGAAAAGCACGATATCACTCTGATGCGATTCCCCCGCGAGGGCCCCTTCTGATTATCCCACTGCCAAGGCTTCTTCGGTGCACGTTATCCCCAAGGTGAAGGATAGCTTGTGATACGCGGGTCGGCGGCGCCACATCGCTCGCTATTTTTCCAACGCCGGCCGCAAGAGCTCTGAGATCCCGCCTGCGAGCAGAAGAACAACCTTGGAGGCTTGGAAATGTGCTGCGACATCATAACAAGGGGGTTGCGTCCACCAGGGATGATCCTTGATTTGGGCATTGGTGGTAATATTTTGGCCACCTGGGAAGCCCGAGTATGACCACCATCATCGAGATCGGGAGCATTTTCCCTCGGTGGAGGCACACCGCCGAAATTGGTGTTGGTGCAAATCTCCAGGCCTCCCACCGACACTTCCCTAGATGGGGGTATAGGCTGTTCCCTTCGGGTTTCGAAGGGTATATCCCCAACCGGGGCGGTGGGATAGTGGACGATACTGACCGAACACTCCTCCCACTCCGCCTGGAACGCGTCATGTACGATTCACGATAACGCTCGTAACTGGGGATGCTCCCCCCCCCCGGTAACGTCCCGGTCCGCGCTGGCGCCGTATGAGAATGGCTAGGGGCAGGTATTTCCTAGACGTTACCAAACTCCCTCCCCCCCTATCCCCCTCTGGTATCGGCCGTTATCGCCAGGGGATAAAAATACGCTCTCGTAAGAATGGGGATGGGGTTCGGTTAAACGGACACTTCTGGCTGGCACCATCCGCCGGCATAAGGCAAGGCAGGGATGGAGGAAGGATGCGCCGACACACGTGCGCCTCCCAATTTGCAGGTTCGGGCGCCTCCCTCCTCCCTCCCTGCCTGCCGTATGCGCTGCCTGCCTGCGCGCCGCCGATATGTGTATGTATATATATATATATACATACATACATACATACATACATACATACACATGCCCAAACATAGACATGACATTGCATGAGCTGGTGTATATATATACATACCTCTATATATACATATGTATACATACATACATACATATACACACCAGTGAAGATTTTGTGATTTTGGTGGTTTGGGGGTGCTGGGGGGGGCGACCATATATATATATATGTATATATATGTACATATACATGTACATATATATCAAAGACCCTAAGAAGGACGCGCGGTAAGGACGCAAGACCCTTGGAAGCCGAAGTTGGGATGTTTGGGGCGGCGGACGACGAAAACCTCAAGGACGCAAGAGCAAGGAAGAGCAAGGACGCAAGGGTACCCTGAGCAAAGTCGCGCGTCCTTATTCGGGTATTTGACTGTACGATCAGTGAAGACTTTGTGATTTGGGTGGTTTGGGGGTGCTGGGGGGGGGGGCGACCATATATATATATATATATGTATATGTATAGGTGTGCGCGCCTTCCTACTAGTGGTCATCGTCCTGCGCTGGGGATCGGCCCCGCCGGGGCCGCGGGCGAAGGGCCGCGCAGTCCTGCAGGCGCGCCTGCAGCGCCTCGAAGGGCAGCCGGCCTCGGCGGACCCAGGGCGAAGGGGCGACCCGCAGCCCCTGCGGTCTCCTCCAGGGCCGCCCCGCCTCCTCGCCCCCCTGGCTTCTTCTGCTCTCCCTCCCCCTCCCTTCCCCTCCCCTCCCTCCCTCCCTCCCTCGCTCCCCCCCCCTTGCCTCCCTCGCTCCCTTTGCTCTCTCTCTCTCCTCCTCCATTCCCCGCATCCCCTGACAGCCCCCCTCCTTCCCCTCTGCCTCCTCCCTCCCACTCCCTACCTCCCTTTGACATCCACCTCCAACTCCTCCTCGCCCTCCTTCTCCTTGCCCTTTTGCGCTCAAGTAGCGTTGCACGTCCTTCAGAAGGATGCGCGGTCCTGCGAGCTGAGCGATATCAAGATAAGGACTTCTCTGGTTTCCTTGACTCGGCAGCCATGGCACCAGCTCCGCGGCGGGGCGGCGGATGGCCGTGGCAGCAGCAGCAGTCAGGTGATGGGGCTCTCGGCTCTCGCGGGGCGGTGGCAGAATCCTGGAGGAGAGAAGACCAGCAGCACGTGGACATGCTCGTCGTCTGTGGCCGCCGCAAGAACGAGGATGGTGCAACAAATCAGCCCACGCAACATGCAACAAGTAGCACAACCCAATCGCGAATCTAGAATTTCTGTCCACGCAAGTTGCAAAGGGTAGCGAATCTTAAGGTCGCTAAGCAACTGGGGAGCACCTCACACAGCGGCCTGCAATAAACAAACTCATGCTATGCAACGTGGCCTGGACAACATATCGAATTGCAGTTGCGACAGGAGGGAGGATGGTGGTGGTGGTCACTGCATAAGGGAAACAAGTCCCGAGCAGAGCAACACGCAACACGACCACGACGACGCCGACGATAATGACGACGACGACGGAGCCGACGGAGACGAGGCGCGCAGACGATCCGCACCGAAGCACGGCTTTGGGAGAGGGCTCACCCTGCAAGCTCGGTTACACAGCACATCGTTGAGCGGTGCTGCAGCCTCACATGAACTCAGCCCCCCCCAGAGCATCAGCCAGACGGCTCGGGTTTACACCCTCCTGCCTTGCTGGACTCTGGGCGCGCTTCGGCACCCTCTCCCCCAACCTCGTCAGGGCCACCGACAATGGAGAGGGCGGCGGTGGCCGACGCGTCCCTGAGCTAAGAAGCTGAAAGCGCCGCGGCTCAGAGAGCCGGGATGACAGACAGACAGACGAACGGACGGACAGGCGGCGTGCAATGCCTGGCACTCCAAGTAGGTGGTCACAGGAGGGAGGAGGGAAGAAGACGAAGGACGAGGAGGAAAACGAAGGAAGCGGAGGGTGGGTGGGTCTGTACGCTGCATCTCTCCGCTCCGCATCTGGTCCCGCCGCCGAAGATGCTCGTTCGATGCTGCACCGTAGGCAGTCTGGCCCGAAGAGCCCCTGAGGGGCCCCTCAGGGGCAACGATCCAAGCTCGTTGCCCGTGAGGGGCAAACGAGCAGTCTTTTCGCTCGAGGCTCGATCCAAAGCAAGATGGCAACAGCGCAGATAACTTCTGGGCCCGAAGAGCCCGGCCCCGCTTCGACCAGCAGGCCCCTGCGCCCCCAAGGGGTGCGGGGCGCCCGCCGCGGAGGACGTCCCTGGCCCCCAGTGCAGGAGTCCTAGAAATCAATGGGGGGGGGCCACACCACCAGGGGGACCACCCGTTGCTTCTCGAGCTGAGCTCCTTGTCCCTGGAAGAACATCCGCAAGACCATCAAGCAAGCACGAAGAGCAGCAGGGTAGGAGCCCTAGCTCGCGTGCAAACTGTTGGAGGCAGTGGGCGTCTGCATCAAATGGCCACACTATCCGCGCTCGTCCTGTCCAGGGGTTCCGCTCTTGTGCAGGGAGTGGGTGTGGCCCGACAGTCCAGGTACCCCTTCAAGACCTTTCGCTTCCGACAGAGATGAGGTGGCCAAGCTCTCTGGGCTCGTGGCGACCCTGCGCTCCGTGGGCGACACCGAGGGCGCTGATGAGTGGCAAATGCAGTTGGATGAGAATCAGGCCGCCATTGTCCAAAAGGCCCCTCCACCTCAATAGCGAGTCAACAATGCATTCCACGACAAGACCAGAGGCCGTAGCTCGACGGCCTTGCTGCTGCATCATTCGGACTCGTCCTGGTTCGCAGCCGTCTCGCCGATCGTCAAGCGTTCGAATGACATATGGATCGCTTATCAGAGATTGTAGTATTTGGCGGCGAGCGAGGGAAAAATGATAAGAAGGCCTTCTCAAAGGCGGCGGGACTTCTCAGAAGCCCTCGGGCGTTCTGAGAGTTTGTTGTGTCTTCGGGGAAAGCTCAGAAAATGTCTCATAAGGCTTGGGGACTTCCGAACCTTCTGAGAAAACCCGCCCCTATTCATTTCCCCCCCTCGCTCGTCGACGAAATATGCCCACGCTCTTCATCACCAACTTGTCCGTGAGGCGTGGGATGTTGTTTCCTCGCAAAGATGGGCCCTTCTGGAGGGATGCAGCGGACCCTGCGGGGCCTCTTCGCAAGAGTTGCCAGAACGTCTCCTGATCGAAGCACAGTTCAAAGATCGAGCTAAGCAATGTTTTTCGTTTTCGTGTTGATTTCGTTTTCCCTCGGTTTATCGTCAATCCACCTTTGCTGCAAAACGACATCGAAACGAAAACGGCCCACGAAATCGCCACAGCAAGGTTTAGGTCCACCCTTGGTACAGTGTTGTGGCTCTGGTTACAGATCGAGGCCACACTGTGGGGCTCACGGAGTTTTCTCCCCGCCTGTTTAATAGTACGTGATGCAAGTCGTCCTGCGTGTTCCTGAGTGGAGCCTCGGGACTCTTCTCATCTGTATTGGCCGTGCTTGTGTGAATGGTGCTATGAGCTACCTGAGCTCTAGTCAATACTCGCCCCTCCAGAAGGGATGTGTCCGATCTCTGAATCTGTTGCACCGCTGTTCACACACATATCTGCGAGCTGCCGATGTAGGATACGGACTGGAGTCCAAGGACTGCCCTCTGTGAGGGGCAGCCACGGACGCACTGATCCATAGGCTCTGGAAGTGTCCGCATGCGCAGGAGCTGCATGGAGCTGCGTGATGAAGTCGTCCACTGTCGTGTTCAACGTGCGCTACTGACTGAGATGGACGACCCCGCTGTGGCTTTCGCGTGCTCTCGGGATACATTCTCACCGTGCAAATAATGTCCCACCTGCCTTACCTGAAAGAAACATCCAGGTCGCATGGGTTGATGTGGGGGGGGGGGGGGGCTTTGGCGATTCGGTTAGCGCTTTCGAAAACGATATGTTCGCAGACGGTATTTGCTGTGTATTGTCCACGGGCTAAGCCGACTGGTTTGGCATTCACCCTGATCGGTAGAAATTAAGTCGAAAAGTAGTGCGTGTCAGAGGGCCTGCGTGGACTGTGTCCGCATGCTCCACCAACCGCCGAGTTTCGTGCTCTACCTACCGCTGTATAAGGGTGAAGCGGTGCCTGCGGCATTTCCAAATGTCGGACTCGTGTTCGTCTCGCTAATCTGCCTTTGCCTGAGCAGTGTAGGCGTTCGGGCTTGGGCAATTGAGGTGACCGCAATGACACATACTTCGTGTTTTCTCTATCAAGGCCAACCAAGACGTCGACTGGCCCTCGACTCGGGGTTCTGGACTTCGGTCCCTCGCGTGACCTCAAAGTTGGACTTGCTACTCCCAAGCTGAGCGTAAGAGGAAACCGTGTCCGAATGCTCCGAGCGGCTTGTGAGATGGCCCTTCCTATATTGCAGTGTGACAAAGCAGCAATGTTACATGAGCCAGGCAAGATGATGTACCAACGTCGTCGCCGACCTGATGCTCACCAATGATTTCTTGTATGTTCACGTGAGCATGCACGTCATCAGTCAGCGTGTTGCTCTTTCATCTGTTATACGACCAGCCGACTGATGAACGGGGTCTTTATCTTCGGCTTGGGAGTTCTTGGGCGGACACCTCAGCGAAGTCGGCCGCCTACTTGCATCCCACGCGTTATCCCTGGGAAAATGAAAACGTTGAAAGGAACCTGGATGTGGCCAGATCAGATCCGTGGGTCGTCTGGTGGCCAAGGAGCTCCTGTCCTGGCCGCGGCTGGAGTTATGTCCAGACGTTTCGAGCGCGTCCAGGTGGATGCATCACGGGAGCGCGAGAAATCCACCTCTCGCCAACGGAATCGGGGTGGGCATTGTCTCGCAATGCTCGACATGTTCCCGCGGGCAAGCGCGGGGGATCGCGAGCACTGCCTGCTGGTGGCCCGTGCTCTCGGCTGCTGCGCGTGCGGCCATGTGCACTGCGGGAGCTGGGCCATCTGAGCACCGCCGTGTTTTCATTGACTGCTCCGATGTTAATTCCATTTGCACCTATACAGTACACACTTACCTTGCGTATGAAACACACCTGGACACACTGGCTAGGCGGTACAGCCAAACAAACTTGCTGCGCATGCAATCCGCGGACGAAGCCGATACGAGGACTCCGTCCGAAGAGGGCTGGGGTCACAGCCGACTGCGACACGTCTTGCGCTATGTAAGACCCTGCCTGACGCATGCGAACACTGCATCACGTGGTTGCGCATTTCACAGCAAGACCGCTCAGGCCTGATTCGCCCAGTCGCTTGCTGCACTCCGAGGCTGAAGGAGGGTCGACTCCAAAAATCCTCCTCCTCCTCCTACCCCCGCTGGCTGCTCTGCCTTGATGCTCCTCCTCCTCCTCCTCCTGCTCTTTCCCGTGCGAGCGCCAAAAAAGTCAATCGGCGCCCACGCAGGCCTCTGAGCTTGACGGCGACCGCGACGAAGGTGCAGCACGTCGCTCTGTTCCTCCTCCTCCTCCTCCTCTGCCATCTTGCTCATCAAAATCCTCTTCTTTCTCCTCGTCGTATCCCCGCTTGCTTCTCTGCCCTCCCGCTCCTATGCCCCCCCCGTTTCTGTGGGCGAGGGCGCGCCTGAGACGGAGGGCAGGGCTGCTTCCTCGCCCGACCGGGCCGCGTCGTAAAGCGCCATCAGGTCCTGCGGCCCCGCAAGCCACGCTTTTCTTCCTCCGCCTCCTCCCCCGCCTGCTGCTCCTCCAGCGCCTCCTCCTCGTCCTCCTCCTCGTCGTCGTCCTCCTCCTCCTCCTCCTCGTCCTCCTCCTCCTGCTCCTCCTCCTCCTGCTCCTCCTCCGCCTCCTCCTCCTCCGCAACGTCTCCTCAACGTCTCCTCCTCGTCCTCCTCCTCGTCCTCCTCCTCCTCGTCACCGTCCTCCTTCCCTCTTCTTCCTTCCTGCTCCTCCTCCTAACCCATCCTCCTCCTCCTCCTCCTCCTCCTCC